TCGAGAACGTCTAAACAAAAATAAAGAAGAATTTAAAGCGTGTTTTACAAGATAGATTAGCATCAAGGAACAAGAATCAATTAATTGAATGCAAAATCAAGAAATAAAGATTTAAAGCATCTTTTCCGTATTTACCTTTCATGTTTGGCGAAGTAACTTTTTTGGTGGAAGAATTACCATTATATTTGTTTGTCAAATCATATAAAATCTAAAAAAAAGGAAGAAACAATATAGAAATGAATAAATCAACTAAAAAAATTGAAAGTATGGAACATAGATTAAACACAAATGTAATTTAATTCTATAACTGTTTCATCAATTGTCTCAAAGCCAATACAAATGTGAATTGATTAAAGAAAAATTATAAAGCACTCAAAATTTAACGATTTCATGGAATAAGATAAGAAGTATTAAGAGAGCAATTAGAGGAAAATCACAAGTTCCAGGAGTGAAATTCAACTTATGAAAAGTTGAGGACTAATTTGCACAGTTTAAAATTGGAGGACCAGCTTTGGATGATTATAGAGGTTCAAGGACGAACGTAAAAACTTTTGGAACATGCTGGATCAAATTTGGATTTTTTTTTTTTATGTGCTCCAAATCTTTCTTGTGTTTTTCTTCTCCATGGTGTGTAACTAAATTCAATGTAGGGTTGAACAATTGTAATCTAGTCTTGAACCTTAATTTTGTTTATGAAGGTTTGATCTTCAATTAATATTTGTGCATATATTGTTTTTACTTCCATTCTTCATGACTTTGAATTACTTGATCGTTAATCCATTGATTTGTGAATGATAACAAGTCGAGAGGTAACTTTTTTGTTTAGATCATGTCGTAAAAAATGAAATTTGGACAGAAGGGAAAAATAACACTTGCTAATTTTGCAATCCTTAATTGAATTCTTTTGTGATTGAATGCTCTGAATTAAAGCTTACATTGATTCATGTATAGATATAATGAGTTGACTAAATTGATTATGATTTGTTTGAGCACTATTTTCATAGGTTTATAATATTTTTAGTATTACAATTAAAATGACTTTTCATTAGTTTTATTCGAATAGAAGTTAACACATATTTAAATCTATAATTAGATAAATAGTTCTTGTGGAACGATAATTAGAACTCTTTAGGTCCACTCTCTATTGGAAGTTTGAAATACTAAGATTATTCTTTCCATATCATTANATATATCTTTCTTTTTATATTTTTTATTTTAGTTGATCTACCTTTTTTTTTTAATTTCATTACTGGTCAGAGAACAAAAAAAAAGGGCAAAAGATAGCAATAGTATGAGATGAGAGATTCCCAGATTGATGACGATGACATACGTGTGGGAGATATCTCCATTGTTCTATGATATATAAGTGGGATATGATTCATAGGCAATAATTGAATAATCGAAATGTTTGTGAGAGATATCTTTGGCACGAAGATTTAATGTGACGGGATATGATGCGCTTGCTTAAGTTGATGAGGGTGACTTGCTTGACCAGTTGTTTCTCCCCACCGATTGTTAGCGAGCATGACTTGCTTGTTAAAGAATTATGAAAATCACCTCTACCGGGCTTCTAAGTACGTGTGAATGCGACCTGAATAAGTTCAATATGTGAAAACTATGAAGACTATTCTTTATACTGAAAATAACTTATTATTAGCCACTCCAAATAAGGTGGATACTCCTTCTAAATAATGATCCAAGCTCCCTTACAATTCGCACTCACAACATACAAGCCAAGATGGAAGTATCACCAAAATTTTTGGTGGTCGAAAAATTAAAATAGTGGCAATTCACTAATCCTCAACAGGAAAGGAAGCTTTTCCATGAAGACATCATTGTGCAATTGTCCAAGATTATGAATAATAGCCCAATCATACAACCTGAATAAACACCAACTATAGAGGTAGAACATTTGAAGAATGAGAACTTCATCCTAATCAAAACGAAGTATGCCATTCAACGAAGTTGGAATGATCATACAGTCGTCCACTTTATTTTCCGCTCTGAAGTTTATTTTGTGATTAACATCGATGAGGAAATTGTTCACTCTATATATTTCATAGACAACCTTAATTAGTTATTATAGAGTTTTCTTTTGTTCATAGTAATGTTGTTCTCTAAACTTTTACTTAATTGATGTTAAATGTTATGACAAATCTGTCATAGAATTCTCGTGGGGTGGAAAAGGAACTAGCACACAAAGTGTATTGGAGGCGTGTTCGGTAGAGATTAAAATCGGATTAAAATTGAAAAATTAGTCGTTATTGTTGACTTTTATTAGACCAGTGGGACCCAATAATGACTATATTTTCAATTTTAATTGAATTTTAAATCTAGTCAAACATGTTCTGAGTCTAGATAGGAGAGCTCAACCTCATACATTTGCATAAAGGGTACAATAGCCTTTTAATAAAAAATTTAACTTTTTAACCGTCAAATTAACGGAATATGATGAATTGAATCAATTCCACACTAAAACAATAAGTTTGGGGCGTCAAACCATAGGTTAGCGAGAATTTTTCCGAAAATCCCTTGTCATTATCCTCAAATATTGTCATTTTACAAGATTTTTGAGACGAGTAAATTGATATGATATACAATTAAATTGATAAATATTTCAAAATCAAAACTAATATTTGCTTTTAATTAAGAGATTACGGCTGTGTCTGGGAACACTTTTTCAAACTAATTAAAATCATTTTTATAGCCGTTAACAGCAAACCAACTGCAATAATTGATTGTTCCACTCACAGCTGGGGCCGAGAAATTGACTGCAACGATTCAATTTTTCCATTGCAACAGTTTGAATTACAATTAAAATTCCAACCAGACACACGCTACAAGTAGTATTTACTAGTAACTTGCCGATTATTATCTTTCTGAGACTTCAAATTGGAATGAGTCAAAAAAAAAAAAAAAAGAGTCAAGTGATAGCTCTATATATTTCATGGTCAACTTTTATTACTTTATTTTAAAAAAATGGTTGACTTGATTAGATTGAAATGACTTAGAAAAGATTTGAAAATGAAGATTGGTAGATAAATCATTTTTTTTTAAAGAGTAGTGGCTCACTGTCGTAATCGTCATACGCGGCACGTGACGTTTAGTGATTTGATGTACTAATGTGATAGTTTTTATTACTTCATACAATAAATCATTAACCGTCACATGTATCATGTATCAGCGCAGGGAATTATGATAATGAACTACTGCAAATAATATTATTCATTTTTTTAAAATCATTTTTATAGTCGTTAATAGCAAACCAGCAACAATAATTGACTGCTCCACTCACAGTTAGGGTCGAGAAATTAACTGCAACGATTCAATTTGTCCATTGCAACGGTTGGAATTACAATTAAAATTCCAACCGAACACACGCTACAAGTAGTATTTACTAGTAACTTGCCGATTATTATCTTTCTGAGACTTCAAATTGGAATGAGTCAAAAAAAAAAAAAAGTCAAGTGATAGCTCTATATATTTCATGGTCAACTTTTATTACTTTATTTTTAAAAATGGTTGACTTGATTAGATTGAAATGACTTAGAAAAGATTTGAAAATGAAGATTGGTAGATAAATCATTTTTTTTTTAAAGAGTAGTGGCTCGCTGTCGTAATCGTCATACGCGGCACGTGACGTTTAGTGATTTGATGTACTAATGTGATAGTTTTTATTACTTCATACAATAAATCATTAACCGTCACATGTATCATGTATCAACGTAGGGAATTATGATAATGAAATACTGCAAATAATATTATTCATTTTTAAATCAGTTTTCATCAATTTGGGCATTTTTATATTCTCTACCCTTGGATCTTTCCTCTTTTTACCAAACACATTCTAAAGGGGAGGGAGAGAGAAATTATGCTTTTTGCCGATCCATTTCTTCTTAAATTCTTCGTGCTGATTAAAACATAGAGAAATTCTCCATTTTCGTTATAACCCAAATCCCATTTGCACGTATAAAGAGTTGATAGAACAGTAGTATAATTGATTTGAGTTCCATGTACTCGGAAAAAGGAGAGGAATAAAGAGGTAAAGGGAATAAACAAAACCCATGAATTGCGGTTTGTGAGTTCTTCTTCTGTTGTTGTTATTTTCAGTTTTTGCTTTTTCATTAATTGGACCCTTTAATTAGTTTCTCTCTCTCTGTTCGTATTACTTATAGTCTCTTCTTGGATCCCTCTTTTTCAAATTCTGTTTTGATCAAATATTCAGCTTCTTGGTATTGAGTTATTGTTTTAACGAAGTTTACGTAGTCTGGTTCTTGGATCTCTACTTGTAAGTATAAGTCTTGATCAAATGTTCATTTTTTAGGGATTATTGTTAATATTAAATTAATTTTCTTGTTGGGGATGAATGATGTTTATCTCAAACAGCATGTTGTAGTGGTAAGAATTATATTTAAGATTGTTAAATGGCCAGTGGATATCGGAATTTATCTGTTTTCTTTTTTATTTGAGAAATGTTTAAATGCGATGCTTTATTTAGTTGTAAGAAATTTTGTTATTTTAGTATTTGGAATGGGATTCATCGTGTTTTGCTTCAGATGCTCCAAAAAAAATTCTATTTATATTTCTCTGGCGGGTGTTATGTAGTTTATTTGATTACTATTTTTAAGTATAATTGAAGTAACTAGTTCGGGGTTGAAACTTGTAATTACGATCTTGCACAGGATCCTTGCATGCAAATTTCTTTTCTATGATGGGATGTTTAAATGCAACATAAATGCTTTTTTTTGGGTTTAATTTTTTTACGATAATTTGATATGTCAGATGTAGTTCTGGTATTTCATGAATGTTTACTATTTTTTTTTTTTGTTTGGAGTGGGGACTGCCTGAGTGACATGTTGTATATCTTCTGCTAGCATCTTTTTTGTGCTTTTTTCACATTGACTGATTTTTATGCAGGCACGTGCATCTTCTTCTGATTCATTTGTGCACCTGGAAAATACAAATAATAAAGAGTATCTGTACTGAGGAAGAGAGCAAGGATGCGTAGGTGGCTGTGTTGTACCTGCCAAGATGAGGAGCCTTACCAATCAAATGAAAATGAGATCCTTAAGAGTCCAAACAATCATGCTGATGGTACGTTCGATGTAATTTAATGCTTATGTATGTGTTCCAAGTCCAAGGAATCGAACCCATGACCTCTTCTTTATGAGAGTTTAAGTTGAATCCTGATACCAATTAGTACGTATGAGTTAACGGCTTGGACACATACCCAGTCGTTACGATGTAGGTGCTAATCAAGTGATGTTTATTTTCGGTCTTTCTGCTATTTACATCTTGGAAAGAGTGTTTGAATCTTTAACACCGGCTATTCAAGTTTCAGCGGTTGCGATGATATGAACTGGTGCTCCTTTAGACCTTTAGACAATTATCTGGAACTGGGAAAACTTGACGGATTATTTATGATGCATCACAATGGATGAAATATTTGTGGATGTAATAGAAATTTCAAGTGATTTCCTATGCAGTGAGTTTTTATCATGAGTGCTAAGCATAGAGAATAATGTATCATAGCCTATGGTTGGTCATTCACTTTAATTTTCTTTAAGTTTGTCTGGAAGGTATTGAGACTTTCAATAGTGTACTGAGAAATGCATTGAGCATGTTGACTACGTTACAAGTTTCTTATTAATTTTATGATATGGTGGATGGAAATAAAGGTGGGCACACATCATGGAATGGAATTGAGTGTGTCCAACTGTAATTACTTTTGCTTTGGCTTTGAGAAAGTATCGTGTGAAAAGACTTCATGGCATCGTGGAGGAATGTATAAAGTTGTAAAGAAATACCCCATATAAGTTTCTTGCTCTCTAGTGCTCTTCATAAATACTGTACCTTCTCTTGAATTAAGGGGAAAGGGCAAATCAAATGAAGAATGATACCAACAATCTTTACGATGGTTGACAAACTTTGAACATGTTCTTTTTCTCATTATACGATGATGAAAGTTAGGTAGGCTATGAAGAGGATGGAGATGAGGAAAACAGTTGGCCAATATTGCGTTAATAGAATTTTACAGTACTGAATGTTGGTCTATTAATGTCCATAAAAAGAACTTTGCGGAAATTAAGATGGTAAGGTGGATGTTTGGTCGTGCTAAAATAAATAAGTTAAGATATGAGAATGTATGCCAACAGGAAGATGGCACTGATACGGAATGCTGATTTAGGTAGTTGGGGCTTGTTCTGTTTAGAAGGAAAGACATTCTTGTCCATGGATTGATGTGATCTCAGTAGAATAAGTTTGATGAGGAAGGGATAGACCAAAACTACACGGTCCTTGACATTCCTACTTTTTTATGACCCCATATTATTACTTTTTTTACTTCATATACATGATTTTTCTGCGTTCCCTTTTCTGAGTATTGGAGAAGTGTCTGAAAATGAACATTTCATTTCAAATATGCATGCGGTTAAAGGTGTCAGGAAGGTGTACTGTGCACAAGGAAATCTGGAGATTATTTGGATCAGAGTATCAGACATAGAAATGTTGCCTCCTTGAAAGAGTTTGTACTTCTTAGTTCTTTTATATTCAGTTCCAATTTTTTGATACTTCTGGTCAATAGGTAATTAGAATTTCAGATGATCCATGTATTCATATTTTCTTGCTGCATATATTGTATGTTTTCTTTTACCTAACATGTGGCCGTTACTTTAAAAGACTGTAAAATCTTTAGAAAGTTTTTGTATATATCATCTATATTGTTCACTCACCCAAAGCAAATCTACACCATCCATATCATATCATCTCAGTTAATTGTTGGTTCCAGTGATGTTCATTGGCTTTGTTTCAAAATTAGTTATAGTTCCTTTCACTTTATATATGTGCGCAAAACAGGGCATCAAAGAGGCCCTAAGGCGCCAGCTCCTGTGAAGCCCGAAGTTCAGAAGGCAGCACCTGTCATTGAGGTTCCTGCGCTGTCTCTTGAGGAACTGAAAGAGAAAACTGACAATTTTGGATCAAAGGCATTAATCGGCGAAGGATCTTATGGAAGAGTATACTTAGCACAGTTAAATGATGGCAAGGATGTGGCTGTCAAGAAGCTTGATGTGTCATCTGAGCCAGATTCAAATGTGGAGTTCTTGACTCAGGTACACCATCTTCATATTTGGTGCAGTCCTTTGTATTCTCCTGATATACACAATTCATTCCCCATCTCTTGTATATTGACTTTTTTCCTTTATTAAGGTTTCCATGGTGTCAAGATTGAAGCATGAAAATCTTGTAGAGCTGTTTGGCTACTGTGTAGAAGGCAATCTTCGTGTCTTAGTTTATGAGTTTGCAACTATGGGATCTCTACACGACATTTTACATGGTATGTAGAATAATTTTGCCTTCTAACTAGATTTTTGAGGGACAGTGGAAAGGTTATTTTCTGATCCTATTTGCAACTTCAGGAAGGAAAGGAGTACAAGGTGCACAGCCTGGTCCTGTACTTGACTGGATGCAAAGGGTAAGAATTGCTGTTGATGCCGCGAGGGGGCTGGAATATTTGCATGAGAAAGTGCAGCCTTCAATAATACACAGAGATATCAGATCCAGCAATGTACTTCTCTTTGAAGACTATAAAGCCAAAATTGCAGATTTTAATCTATCAAATCAAGCTCCTGACATGGCTGCTCGACTTCATTCTACTCGAGTTCTGGGAACATTTGGTTATCATGCACCAGAGTAATGCTCTTTACCTCTTCCTTCTGTTATTAGATGCTTCCATTAATATAACTTAGTTGATTTCTTTCTCAGCGAGACACTATGTTCTTGCTTTTTGGTAATTATGTTTACAGCTGAAGCCTGCTTAAGTTCACTTAACAAGTACTGATGAACCCCATAATCACAATTTTTACAGTCTTTGCTGCTAAAAAATTTAAACAGATCGAGATCATATAATTTGAATTGGAAACCATGTATTTATATCTCCTACGGGTGGATGTGTTAGAGAGATTGTAACCACATCAACATCCAACACCAATAAATCAGGGTATATTAGCTCAAGAGTTTCTAAGATAAATAGTTAAATACTAACTATTAGTTATGCAATGGATAAACTACGCGAGCAGCACCGTAGCAATGTGCACTATTTAGAACATGTTCTCAACCATGAGTGGCCTCCCAAGTGATTGCCTTTTTTTAAGGCAGCATTAAGACCATACACAATAAATTCCATCTATTCCTTTATATAGTAGTAGAATTTAGATCGTGAATTTCTTTATTTTCTAAGTTCTATTGTGAGCAGATATGCAATGACGGGACAGTTGACACAGAAGAGTGATGTGTATAGCTTTGGGGTGGTTCTGCTTGAGCTTCTGACAGGAAGGAAGCCTGTTGATCATACTATGCCTCGTGGACAACAGAGTCTTGTTACATGGGTGAGCCAACTACTTTGCCTGCTTTCTCAAGTCTTTATTTGAAACTCGGATTTGTCTTTTTTTTCTTAATTGCTTATGGTATCCATTTTCTACATTTTTTCTGATTGTCCTATACTATCATTGTATCAGGCCACTCCAAGACTGAGTGAGGACAAAGTTAAACAATGTGTAGATCCAAAGCTTAGGGGAGAGTATCCACCAAAGGGAGTTGCCAAGGTGCACCCCCTACCCCACCACCCCACATGCAGACACAAAGAATTAGTCGTAATTGTTCTAACACTGATTGTACTGTCTTTGTTGATTGCAGTTGGCTGCTGTTGCAGCATTATGTGTGCAGTATGAAGCTGAGTTTCGGCCAAATATGAGCATTGTTGTCAAGGCCCTGCAGCCTCTCTTGAAGTCAACTGCCCCTGCTCCAGAGGTTTAACGCCAATAAATTTGGATAGTTGTAATGTTTGGATTGCTGCATGTTTTGCACAGTTTGGATCAATTTCTGCGTGAATTTTATTAGTCGTGCCACAATTATTTTTTCATTTTTTTTCCCAAGTTGAGACATGTAGGATTGGATTCGGCTGATGTGATTCCTCTGTGGTTTGTTTTTGAGTCTGTTGGCATTTTGCAATATGGCATTGATGTGTTCCTAATTCATGTGCTTTTATGTGTATCTAATTTAATGAATTATGTTATAGCTACATCTTTTCTGAACTTTGCTCAATTCAATCCTAGTCTAGTGGTCTCCATTGGGGCTGAGTTAAAAACTAAACCAAAATAAACTCAACCAGAATGGTTATCCTTTGAATTGAAAATTCTATAAAAACAAATTAATAAATATTATACAAAGGTGAAACTTTCACAATATGAAATATAAATACAGCTAAATTATGCACGTGCCAAGGACGTTAGTTAAGTCTATACTAAACAATCGATATTGATAATTTACCATAAGAATTTCAAATCATATGCTACAATTAAAAAATGTGTGAAAATATTTCAAAAAAATCACTTGAGAAAACAATTTAAATTAGGAGAAGCTACATATATTATTGCAACTTAATGGATTGGAGAAAAATGCACTCGATTGACATTATTGAAACTGGTTAGAATTTTTATCAACTCGAAGAGCCTTTTATGAAATACCAGTTGCATTACCAAATTTCTATGTAATTATCAGACAAATAGAAGCACGAAAAGAATTCATACAAACAGTCCAAATTTATTTAAAATAAAGATTCTTGATCTTTGATAAAGGTCAAGAAATTATTATATAAATATATAAATGGAATATTTTATGCCCTTATAACTGGGAATTTTAAGTCTCTAGAGGTACTGAACTTGAACATGACATTACAATAATGCAAATCACATACTTACATAATACAGAAGCTATAGAAGAGATTGGATTCAAAAAACCTATGCAACAGACAACAAATTAAGACAATAAGACGATCGGAGGGGAAACATAATCTAACTGATACTCACACAATCCCAGGGGAAACATAATCTCATGGCAAATATTGCTCTCTTATTACATGTTATTCTATAAAGAAATGCCATAACACTGCAGAACACCCTGTAACACTTCAAGAAGATGATGCTGATTTTGGAGCAGAAGGGTTAAAAGGAAGCTGTTCAGCACAGGTGAGAACTTCATGGGGTCCTGCCTCCTCTCGGCCGACACCCATCAAGTCGAGGTAATACTGGTAATGGGACACGATGTTGTTCATGGAGTCGACATCACCTTGACCGCAAACATTGTCACCGTACAAAATATTCATTGTGGTGCCAAAACCTGGAAGCCGTTTAGCCAAGGTGTCGTTTTTGGTGGGTTTCCAGTTGCCAACGAAGGCATCATGAGCCGAAGGTTGTCCTTTCTTTATAGGCGTCATCCACCTCCAAATTGCAGCCTGGAAAGCAAGGGTGGCATTTTGTTCAATGTATTCAGGATGGTTCAACAAATCGACCTTGAGAGCTTCTCCTGTGGCTCCATAATTGTAGTTCCTAGACAAATCCCAAAAAAATTTATATTCTGACCTTGATAGCCAAACTTAACAAATATTTAACAATTTTATAACTTCAAGACAAAAATATGAATAGGTTAGATAAAGGAATCCATAACCTTGCATATACGAAGAAACAGGGATAAAGAAGGTCCAAGTTAGAAAGGAGTGCAGATTTTAAAATGATCCTCGGACTTGAATTACTCAATTGCAATGGAAAAATCAGACGAACCTGTTTCTTTTTAATCTTACATGAAAGGAAATATAATGCAATAAACCTAAATATAGACTTTGCACAATCTCCATTCATATTTCCAGGGAGACTGAAGGCAAGGAAACGATAAATATAAGGCCATTGAAAAGCATAGGAAAACTTGATAAAAAAATGAAGAAAAAAATAGTAAGTACCAGTAGATTGGCAAAGCACCACGACCATAGTATNCATATTCAACAAGTTTTCACATATAAAATAAATTTTAAAGCCTTACTACAGAACCTGTATCTGCTAGCACCATTTGGGAATGCAGTAACCAAGGAGCTAACATAATGTTAAACAACTTTATCATATCATCTTATCATATCATTCCCTGCACCTACTCGGAATATAACATAATCTTTTTGGATGTTTAATTCATTCTAATGTACATAATTGATAGAATAACTGAACAATTTTATTTGAATTTTAAACCATTGGATCAAAATTACTAAATTCGTAATCATGTGACACACTCTTTTGCTAAACTTCTAATGTAGTAGTCAAGGCCCCACATGTATTCAGATGAACAATATCATATAGCCATTATTGCACAAGAATGAAAAGCCAAACAATTATCCAATCATATATGAACCCAAAAAATTGCAAAATTTTGAACATCCATTTGTCCCAGAAGTCATATACTGATGATTACGGACTTAAAGGGCACGAAAAAATTGCCTTTTTAAAAAAGAATAGAACTGAGCAAGTAAACATAATTAATGAGTTCACAACTCAGTCAACCTAAATAGAACAAAAACCTAATGATCTCTCTCTCTTCGATGCAAAAATCACAATTATTAACTCGGATTATAGTCATTGCTGACCCAATGAGATTCCTCCTCCAAGGACGAAGAAAAAGTTACAACTAACTTCAAAAAACACATAAATTAAATTTAATGTCCCCAAATTCAAACCGATTAGGGTTTAAACACCACTAGAACATTACCCAATTCACAACTCCGTCGATAAACCCACCAAAGAAGGATGATTAGTAAACACTTACAGGTAGTTTTGCAGCCGACATGGCCGAGGAAAGCAGCCACCTCCTTCATCTGCATCACCTTCCCACCAGTAGTCCCAAATCCAATCGGCTGATAGAGCGCAGCAGCAGTAATGAATGAGTGATAATCCCAGAATCCAACCGCATGAGCCACTGGTGTATTCCTCTTTTCGAAAAGATTCTCAAACTGATAGGTCTGAAAATAATCTGTAATCGTCAAATTACAGCAGTAAATCGACAACCCTTTACATTCCCATCCTTTGTCGCACATTTTCTTCCCCTTCACCTTCTTCACTACCAACGGCGGAGTAGATGATGTTTCCTCCGTAGTCGCAATAACAGCCATAGCCAGGACCACCATCAAACATCCAATAAAAGCAATTTTTAGATCCATTCTTATGCTGCAAAAAAATCGATAAACGAAAAGGAAAAAACCCACAAATTAGCAAGTAGAACTCTACAGGGGAAATATGAGAAGAATGGGCCTATTAAATTCATGAAAAATGAGAAAGGGAAAGACAGGGAAGGTACAACTTACTCAGAGTGGACACCCATTTTTGAGATCTAATTGTAGAATTCCTCTATTTCTTTGGGTGCAATGCAAGGGAATATAGAGGGCGTTAGATCAAGACTCTCTTTCAGCTTAGAGAAGGGAAAATGACATCAATAATGAATAGGTGAAGTTCGGGGTGGGGGTGGTGATGTATGATAATTTGGACCTCTTCAGACAAAGTCTGAAATGTCATGAATACCCTTCAAAGTTCATAAATTCTCTTTTTTGAAACTGATTTTTTTTTTTCAATTTTTTCCACTCATTTTTTAATGCACATTCTCATAAAAAAAATTCTTCATTTAATTACACATTTTGAAAAAAATTAATTTCCACAAAATCAATTTTATCAAAAAATAAACTTTACAAAGACATCTTAAAATGCTTTGCTTAAATTAAAAACAGTTTTCATATTATCGTGTTTTAAATCAATTTTTTTAGCTATTTTGTTGGTTGTGCTTTTGATTTTATCCATCTTTTTTGAACCATACTCTATTTGAGCATTTCAATCCATTGTTTAAATCTTTATTAGTTAAAGATCTTAATATATTTGAATTTTTGAAAGTCGATAATAAGGTCGGCTGTCTACCTAATATTCAATGAGGTGAACCTTTACATATACGTAAGGGGTTAATGTTAGCTGTTACTATCGCTTCATCCAAATATCTTCTTGGATGATCTCAATAGCTCAAGTTTTAAAGAAATAAATAATATTTGGGAGTTAATGATAGTGGCTCAAAAACTTAGCATTCGAGATGGTGTAATGTCTTGTAATGAGTCATATGTAGACATGTTGTTCGTATCTACCGTTTCACTGCTTTTAAAAATACTTTTAAGCTACTTTTCTTTGAAATGTTTATGAAAAAAAAGTTTCTTTTAAATACAAACAATTATGTTATTTTTTGTATGTTACAAAAACGTATATGCAAAATTGTATAGATTGAGACTCCCCTTACAGTCACACGAAGATCTCTATGTACTAATCCTAGGTTCTTGAGAATGATCTAAGGTTGGTTCTAATATAATTATACATCGTATATAATAAAACGCAATCAATTAAATAAATATTTCCACCATATGATGTCAGTAGAACTCAAATTATAGAAAATTAAGTATTGAATTAGGTTTACAAGAGAAATGAAAAATGGAAGGGCAGATTTGGTAATTGAGTAATAATGGGATAATTGGCGTTCGAGAATGGACGGTTGAGATGAGTTCGTGTGAGAGAAAGATGCTCGAGTTTTAACGAATAACAGGCTGGATTTGGAATGAAGCAATTGCGGAAGGTAAAGGGCTGACCCACTACCTTATTCTCTTCCACCGACAGCCAAGCTTCAATTTATTGTTCTATTTTTTATTTTCACAATTTATTTTTCTTCTTTTATTAAAAAAAAGGGGTTAGTTTGCCGATAGCAGTAAATTCCATTAAATAGAAACAGCCGAGAGATATAGATTCAAGGAAAGATACATAGTGCAGGGATGGAGACAAAAAATAATTTCAGTGCGGAGGTGAAATTAAGTAATAAAATTAAAGGCCACTTTGATTGATAGAAGATGTGTAATTAAAAATAAAGGAAAAATTTTTTGTTGCGTGAAACATGTGCGATTGAAAGAGGGATTACAAAAAAACTCAACAAATCCGATACTCGCAGGCCCCGTCCTAACGGGGCGGGTAACTTTGTCCTGGGGCGAGGACGGGTAACCGGTGCCCCGCTCCCGTCCCGTCCCGATTATTATTTTTTTTTTAGAATTCAATACGTTAAATGAAAAATCTCATGAAATTTCATTAGTTCCAATAGAAAATAGCAACTAAGATTATTCAAAACAATATAGCAAATAATAAAAGCATTAGTTTATCAAATATATTTGAATAATTTAACTTATAAAAATAAATAAAGATTAGAAAATATATTATTGTCTCACCCTAATTAATAAATGCAATAAAATGAATTATCAAAAACTTATAAAAATAAATAAATAAAATTAAATGGGCCCCGTCCCGCCTTAAACCGGTTAAAGGCACGAAAATGGGGCGGGAAATTGCCTAGCGGGGCGGGCCCCACCCCGCTCCGTTGTCATTCCTAGATTAAAAATAAGAAAGAAAAATATATTTTAAAAAAATGAAAATCAAATAAGAGCTAAATATAATTAACTTAAAATGCCACATAAAACATCGATGCTCAAATGTCTAATAATAAAAAAATTGAAATATTGTCTATACCTTGAAAACTTAAGCCCTCGTTTGACCATCATTATTCCTCATTAAATTACAGTAATTTATATGTTTCTCTCTTCTTGTCAACCACACATTCTATAATAAAACAATATTACACATGAACTCAAAATATTTTCTTCTTTTTTAACCACATATTCTCTAAAAATTATTATTTCTATCTTTATAATGTGGAATAATAAGGCCAAATGAGCGCTAAGTTTCATGCGGAGCGATGGCACATATACCAAGAGCAAAATATACAACTGCAAAACAAAAAGAAAATTAACAAAAATAATCCTTCGAAGGTTAAAAATAGGGATTTAAGAGAATTAGTTTTTTTTTTTTTAAATGTGCCGAATGAAAGTGAAGGACATATGACAATAACGAAACAATCTGAAATAATCAACCCATTTACTATCAAATTCTCACGAAATCGTCCCTCTTTCTTGAAGTTGATCTCTCCCACACATGAACCATATGATCAATAGAAATTATGAACCAGAATAAAAGAGTTTGCCCCATCCATTGGTAAACAAAAAATAAAGAAAAATCACGAAAATGGATTTAATGGGCTTCAGCAAAAGTGTATCCATTCCAATAATTATTAATTTTAATTCCTCGTGATTAATGATAAATTTCAGTTTTTTTTTTTTTTTTTCTTTTGAACAAAGAACAATTTCAGTTTTTTCTATTGTACTAAGTGAATATATTTTAAATGTAAATTAGAAAGATTGAATAAGGACATTGTTGACTAAAGTGTAATGACAAAATGGAAAACGGAACTTTCCTTCTATCCACACATTTTATAGATTGTAGATAATAATTTTTAGCAATTTCAAGAATTTATAGGTCATTTGGAGGGAAATTTTGTGTGTGTGTGTGTGTGTGAGAGAGAGAGAGAGAGAGAGAGAGAGAGAGAGAGGGTGGGCCATTCTAGTTGGGTTTTAAATTTCTTTTTGTAGTTAAAGAAAATTTCATATCTAATAGAATATNTATCCTCTTACAAGCCTTTTGAATTCCATATTTTTGGATTCTTTGGACGTAAATAACTTGTACAATTCAGCAAGTGAATCAGGCATAGGAAGATATACTTTTCCATCAGAGCAACAGAATCATTTGCTTTCTCTGTAAAATTTTCTTGCACTACTGTTCGCGTGATACTCGCAAGCGTACGGGGTCGTTGTACAAGTTATAATATTTGTGAGTTAAGAGTATCGTCTCCATGAGAAATAATATCCACTTTGTAGTTCGATAGGTACTATTAAATTCGAAATATGGTGATATCAAAAGAATTGATTTGTATGTTTTCTATAATAATCTTAAACTAACAAAGCAAATAGAATATTTATTTTATATGTAAATGTTATTGGAATTATGAATCAATATATTGTCATTTAATTCAATTCTTAATTCGTAATCTAATAAATCCATGTATTCAAAACAATCGATAATCCACTGTTATTAAATAATATTTTCCAAAATATATTAAACTCATATTTAACACGACTCGATCATATTCCTAATACGAATTCATATGAAAACCATGCATTGATTCAGATGATCTATCACACATGATTGTACATGTCATAGATATAATTTATAATACTTATTGTCCATGTGTTAATTTTGTCGTTTTCTAGATTTATTGTGAGTTTTCATACACTACAACAAGCAATTTACTATTTAATTGGTGATCAAGCAATCAAATAGTTTAATGAAAATGCAAAACCAATTAAAAAAATCAAGAAATACGAAACTAATTGCCTTAAATTAAAATAAACAAATAATATGGTTCATCATTCATCTAATACGATGAAAAACTTAGCCAGCCATTTTTATAATTAAATTACACAAAAATAATTGGAAAAAATCTCCCGAAAATAAGAAAGATGGAAGAAGTATGAGAAATCCATGTTCTTGGCTCGAATTTTAAAATTTGGCTATGAATCTTCAAAAACCTTGTATGATTCGCCTTGAATTGATGTATAGACTTGTTATTCGCCTCCAGAATATGTAGAATATGATGAAATTTAGGTCGAATGGCCATCTATCCACGTTATGGCTTAGTTTGGTATTTAAAGGATGCCAAAAAGATTAAACTGAATTGTTCCCAAAACAAAAATAAGGAAATTGAATTTTTCCCTTTTTGTACTGAAGCGCGCGCCTAGGCATATCTAGGGTGTGCGCCTGGCTAGTTTGGGACATCTCGGGCATCCCATTTTTGGTTGGGACGCGCATCTCGTCTAATTTCCGACAGCTGAATAATTTTCAATATTTTTGTCATAAATTTATCTCCCAATATTCGATTGAGGTGATTCAAAGTGTATTAGAAAGCTAACTTGGAGGGCTACAATTTTTGTAGAAATATCATTTTTTCCAATTCGAAAGATTTATATCCCAAAATTGGGTCTCAATATGAGGTTAAAAATATGAAGCACAATTTTTTCGGTTGAAACTTGATGTGTGATGTGATAATACTTTGACTATACTTCATCTATTCGACTTTTTTCCTTGTCCAATTGACACTACTTTTTAGCAGTTACACTATAGTCCCAAAAATTTGGATTTGCTTTATTTTAGTCATTTTCACTATTTTTGCATTATTTTCTCCAAATTTTCATCAAATGTCGAGTTTTACCTACAAAATGTAATATAACACAAGTTAAATAGTATTTTATCCAAAAAAGTAAAATATCATCATTTTGGATATCGAATAAGTGTAGAAACTACACTTATCACAATTTATTCATTGATAACAAATTAAAAAATTTGTAAGTCACAAATCGTAAA